GATAGATAGATAGATAGATAGATAGATAGATAGATAGATAGATAGATAGATAGATAGATAGATAGATAGATAGGAAAATAGAAAGAATAAGAAAAAATATCCGGCATAAAGAGAGAAAGGAAAGGATGCCCGATAGAAAAATATGGTGCCAGAGAAACAAAAGAAAAAAGTTATCAAAATGGGACAACAAAAACAATGTATTATTATCTTTTTTTCAGCCTTGGTAAAACTTTCAGATGCAAAAAAAAGAGAGAGAAAAAAAGTGGCAACAGAAGCAGATGAAAGTCCTTCAGGAAAAACAAGAGTACATTTAGGGTCAGCATTCAAAAAGGAAAGGAAGTCCAATCCACAAACAGCACAGAGAATCCTGAAACAGAAAAAATGTGCACAAAAGCCAGAGGCAAAATCTCTTCCCTGCTCCCCTTCCTCATCTCTTGTAAACAACTACTGTAGATGGAAATTCAGCAGCCCAGCCAAGGGACAGGGGAAACCATGGCCAAGATGAAATGGAGGCAGTGGCTCAAAGAGAGAGAGAGGAAAAAAAAGACAACAGTAACAAACTACCTACATCAATACTGCATCACAAATAATCTATCTTTCCCTTTATTCTCACTGATATGCATTTCACACAAACCCACAGAAGTCCTTCAATTGCCCCGGGATTCTCTTGTATGCATTCCAAACTTAAGGGCCATACAGTTTTTTTTGTTGTTGTTTTACTGTCATAACCAAACACAACACTGGGGGAAAAATGTTGGATCAGCACAGCTGGAGATTAAATTTAGATGGTGCAGTGAAAAAAAACCATCAACAACCCAAAAGACTCAAAAACAATAGAAGGGAGAGGATAAATCAGAAAGGAGCTGACACAGCAAGTGTTTATTTGAAGAAAACAAGGAGAAATTGGGATAGTTGGAAGGAGAGATGAAAAATAAGCACAGATGCAATTATTCTTAATTAATAGAAGTGGGTATGTTGCTGCTATTTTTCTCCCTGTCACCAATGTGTCTCTTTTTTCACCCAAATCAAAGTATACTGAGTCATGGGCAATGAGATGGGTGGCATAGAAATTTAATAGCTAAATAAAACTCAGCTGCAACCTTGGACATATCACTGTAAGCCTCCTTATCTTAGAAATGAGCAAGAATATTTGCAGCTCGGGTGTTTGATGGAGGTTTGTTCTCCGAGGCTGCGGTTTAGCTTCCGAACCAGTGGTGGGATTCAACATTTTTTACTACCGGTTCTGTGGGTGTGTCTAAGTGGGCATGGCAGGGGAAGGATACTGCAAAATCCCCATTCCCTCCCCACCCCACTAACCTGCTTTCCAGCTCTGTTCTCCTGTGCAGGGCAACCAAAGAAGACCCAGCCAATCAGCTGGGACTTGATGGGAGGCGGAGAATAGATGGGGGCGAGGCTCCAGAACTGATCAGAACCTGCTGAATACCTCCACTGTTCCAGACATTTTGCCACCAGACTAGGGTGACTTCCTGAGCAAGACTTCGGTTGAAGCCCCAAAGTGCCGCTGAGGATGTCACCTAGTTTGGTGACAAAATGTTCAAAAGCTAAACAGCAAGCTCAGAGAAAAAATCACCACTGACCTCCTTATCTTCAAATGACTTGCATCTAGGTAGAAATACGTATGGTAGCTCAAGCCATTAAGATAAGGCTTCTTCAAGAGAAGTATGTATTCAGTAATACATGTTTTAACAGCAGCAAGGAATATCTCTGCACAATACTGGAAAGATGAAGAAACACCTCAAGAGGAAGAGATAATTAAGAAGATTGTGCAGAAATGGACCGACTCCCATTGAAAATCAAACAGAAAGAAGATACAGAATATGATCAAACTCGGAATTTATTTTATCAGTGGTTGTAAAAAAGCGGGGGTGAGGGAGAGTAAGAATGGCATTTATATTTTTAAGCAAATCAAATACCCAGACAACACAATGTTTATTAAGCGCTAAAAAATGTAGTTAATAAAAAATTAATAAAAAATGTTTTTTTGTTTTTTTAAAGATAAGGCTTCTTCAACATGGAGCCCTCCACTGATGAGATTGAAGCTTCCGGAATTCCCGACATGCTGAGAATTCTGGGAGTTGTGGTCTCAAAACATCTGAAAGCTATCAGGACAAGAGAGAAGTGTGCATTAGGGCAGGGGGCTCCAACCTTGGCAACTTTAAGCCTGGAGGACTTCATCTCCCAGAATTCCCTAGGTAGCTTTGCTGAAGGACTTCAACTCCCTTTGCTTTGCTGGCTGGGGAATTCTGGGAGTTGAAGTCTGCCAGGCTGAAAGTTGCCAAGGTTGGAGACCCCTGCATTAGGGTGTCTCCCCCCTCCCCTCACAAGCGAAGTGAAGCTGTCCAAGAGGCCACTGACCTGTCATGGAGTTTTCAGAGGTACAGAGCTGCTCCCTCAGCTTCTCTACGTCATCCGGGTGAACCTGCTCATAGAGGGTGCTGCCAAACCACTCTGACTGAGGCTGGTTCAGAACTGGCGTAACCGAGTCCGAGACGTAGATCACTCGGCCTGTTTCAGCAGCCACCACGAAGAGAAAACCATCAGCTGCTTCAAGGATGAGGTGCTTCAATTCCTTGAGAGAAGGAAGACAAGCATGTCAGAAAAGCAAAGCCCTCGATAGAGAGAGGACATCCTGTGCTAGAATGATTATTGTATAACCCTTTCCTGTTTTGCTCACAAGCTGCTCTCCTTTTGCTTTGGAATATCTATCTTAAAATTGCACGGGTACCCTGTGACTGAGTACTATTCATGGTATTCTGTCACACTTCTTGGTTATGCTTCTTCAATCATGTTTTGTCTGTGTTTTGACATTTATTTAAGCAATTAGCAGCCATGCCTGATGGCTGCCATCCTTGCTCCTCAGTCTTGCTATACCACTCGGGGCATTCTGGATAAATAAAACAGCACCCACCATATTTTGGCTGAGAAGAAATGAACCACCGTTTCCTTCTCTAAAAGAAATGTCCCCATTCTTGCCTCTGAGCTTAAATTACAGAATAAATTTACATGGATCAACGCATTTGGACAATCTAGTGTATATAGCACATGCTTTGTGCATTTCAAGTGCTTGGAATACAATCTGCACTGTATTCCAGCCATTATTTCAACAGCCTTGGACCTTCCTGGATATGGTCAAGGACTTTCATTCTTTTTCTCCTGAAGTCTTGAGTTTGAGAAAGGGCAGGAAACTTCAGGTGTGATGTTTAGCAGAAAGATCACCCAGCACACAAATAACCAACTCCTCTTGTAGCTACATTCTCCTGTGCACCACCCAAACACAAGTGTTTCTGTTGCAAATGAACTACAATTGGTTGCCCATTCCTTACTTCTCTAAACTTTAGCAAACACAGGTCATTACTTCTCTCACATCATGTTGTCCTTTCCTATAGTCTGGAATATACGTACATACAATGCCCAGCCAAAATAAAATATCACATCAGGGTTAAGGCACTGCCTGGATGCCTACAACACAATGAGCCATAAAATATTCAAGTCCCTTTTTAGCCTAAGGTAGAGCATTATATGGACCACAAACTATTTGTGTGTTGTATGGATATGTGCAGCAAAACCAAAAGTTAATTATCCATAAATACTTTTAGACAACACTTCAAATATAATATAACTAGCTTGATATCCATGCTTCGCTACAAAGCTATGTGGTTGGGCTTAGTTTGGGGGGAAGAAAATAAGGAGAAAAAAATTCTGCCTCTGCCTACCAGCATCCATCGATATTTATCTGGCTAGCGTCCTGTCAGTGTGTGAGAGAATTGAGGGCTGTTTGGAAACTGAAACAGTATTTGCTGTGTGAGCAAGGAGATAGCAAGGAGCCTAGGAGTGGCTTAGCTCAACTCTTCTGTACTAAAGCTGCTTGCTGCTATGAAACTAAACTGGAACTGAAACTCCTCTCCTCTGCTTGTGTTTTGCATTTGGAACAGGTTTCTTTTCAGGTGAGGAGCATCAGAGCATGTTAATAATAATAGTATACAAAATACTAATGCTCTGATGATCATTTCAAAAAATCCTTTCTTAGTGAGCACCTAGAAGCCAAGAGAAACATACGTGCCAAATTTCAAGTTTGTAGGCCTGACGATTCTGGGGATTTTGTGATGAGTGAGTGGTATTTCACTTTTATATAGATAGATAAAAAGATAGTAAGTATCAGTGAAAAGCATGAATGATATTTCTCAGGACATAGATGTCAGTTGCATCAACAACTATCCAGCTTCAAAGCCACAAAGCACAGGGGCAAAGAGAATGGGAAAGGAGGAAGAAACCAACAAGCCATGGTTGTAAGGGTGAATTGCAATCTCTTGTTGACACAGGGCGATCAACAATTCAATGTGACATTATTTTAGTTTTCAATAAAAAAAATTCTAACGTAGCCACATTATGTCAAGCGCCTAAGAGATTTCAGCTGAGTTCGTGCTTAGCAATCAAGTAAAGCCATGTGTGGTTGTAGGACTGAGATTTACATCTCCTTGGGTTCAGGTAGCCTGAGAACACATTCATTATAGCAAGGGTCTTCAAACTTGGCAAGTTTAAGACTTTGTGGACTTCAACTCCCAGAATTCTTGAGCTAACATGACTGGAGGAGGAATTCTGGGAGTTGAAGTCCACAAGTCTTAAGCTGTCACATTTGAAGACCCCTTCGTCCAGAGCAACCAAAGGTTCAACACAAGGACAAAGACTTGAGAGCATCTTAGAAAGCAGTTACAGGTTTGGGTGGTTATGAGGTGGACAATTATGAAGCAGACAATGGAAGTTTTCTAGGACACTATGAGCAAAGAAAGTTCTTTTTAACCCACTGCCCATCTTTAAATGGGCTGATAATGAGCAGGGAAGAACCTGGCTAGATGGGAGATCTTCAGAAACATAAAGGAGGTTCCTGCAGCCCCCATGATTGCCTTGTCTTTCAATCCGATGGTGAACTCTTCCTTGGGAATGAATGAAAGGGTGAAATGAAAGCAAAGAAGAAAGCAAAAAAGGAAGGAGGAAGAGCCGCTCCCAAGGCAACGATTAGATAAACGGTGCTTGAGCCCATTCCAAGAGAGTAACTTGAGAAAACATCTCAGACAAGTTCATTAGCAGTCAAAACTAGGGAGGAGGAATCACGTACAGACATGCAAGATTCTGTTTCTACTGCTGTTACTGCAAGCATAGTCCCGACCTATGTTTCAGGCAACAACACTGCTATCTTTCCTCTGGTTTACCTGAGATGAGTGCTCACCTCCAGAAAGTAGACAGCACTAGGAAAGACAGAACATTCACTCATCACCTTTCAGCCACCCTTGTATGCAAGAAAGAAAAAAACCCCAAACCCTAGCATCCTATTCCAAAAAAAAGCTGTTCTCCTTCGGAAGAAATCCCCGCCATTCAAATGGAAGAACGATCTAAAGCTAGAGGGAAGACATTTCCAGCGTGGGACTAGCTGCGATCCAGCCTCCCTGTAACATGAACCCCTGCAAGACCCTCGTGTTTCTCTACAGCCTCGTACGAAGCCACCCACCTGCTCAGTTAGGAAAGAAGGCTTATATGCTCCATCGGTAGATTTGTTCCCAGTGCCCCTCATGGACTTCATGTGAGACACTGCCATGCGTAGGATGGTCAGCTTGTCGGGTTTGCGCGCCAAGGCGCTGCAGGTGGGCACCATGTCAGAGAGCTCGGTGATGTACTGGGTCATCTTGTTCCTCCTGCGTCTCTCGATCTCACTATGGTTCTCCCTAAGCACACATGAGAAGGAGCAAACCGAGAGAGAAAGCGAGATGCTGTCGGTAAAAGATGCAGTGCTTGGAAATTGGCATAGCAGATCCAGGTGGGCTCAAAGGGGAGGCACTACGCCCGGGCATCCCAAAGACTTGTAATGCAAGGACCAGGGAAGAGCAGTAACACTTAGCCCTTGGACTTATATGGTGCTTCACAGTGCTTTACAGCCCCCTTTCTAAGCGGTTTACAGAGCGGTTTACACATTGCACCCCCCCCCCCAAATAATCTGGGTCCTCATTTTACCCTCTTCGGAAGGATGGAAGGCTGAGTCAAGCTTGAGCCATTCGGGATTGAACTGCTGGCAGTTGGCAGAGTCAGTGTGCAATGCTGCATTGTAACCACTGCACCACCACAGCCCTTCCTTCCTTCCTTCCCACTTAGCAATAGCACTTAGACTTATATGCTACTTCACCATCCTTTACAGCCCTCCCTAAGTGGCTTACAGAATCAGCATATTACCCCAACAATCTGAGTCCTCATTTTACCCACCTTGGAAGGATGGAAGGCTGAGTCAACCTGGAGCCTGTGAGAACTGAACTGTCAAAGTGCTAGTAGTGGGCAGTCAGCAGAAATAGCCTGCAGTACTGCATTCTGACCACTGGGCCATCACGGCTCTTTGAGAGAGAGAGACATTGTAGGTGGCTCTTATAGGGTTAAAGAAATTAACAGACTAGATACGCTTAGCTGGGAATATACAGGTAGTCCTTGACCTATGACCACAATTGAGCCCAAAATGTCTGTTGTTCAGTGAGACATCTGTTAACTGAGCCTTGCCCCATTTTACGAACTTTCTTGGCGCAGGTCTTAAGTGAATCACTGCAGTTGATAAGTGAGTAGTCTGGCTGTGGAGTGAATCTGGCTTCCCCATTGACTCTGCTTGTCAAAAAGATTGCAAAAGGGGATCAGGTGACCTTGGGAAGGTCATAAGTAGGAGTCAATGACCAAGCACCTGAGTTTTGATCCTGTGATCATGGGGATGCCATGACGGTCGTAAGTGTGATAAACGGTCACGAGATGCTTTTTTTCAGTGCCGCTGTGATCTGGAACGGTCACTGAATGAAACTGTTGTAAGTCAAGGACTACCTGTAGCCAGGTATAAACCCAACAGTTCTTGTTTCCCAATCTACACTTACAAGCAAATGCATATCAGTCCACAGGGATGTTGGTTTATGGCTAGAGATAGTAGCCTAGGCCAGGGGTCTCCAAACTTGGCAACTTTAAGACTTGTGGCCTTCAACTCCCAGAATTCTCCAGCCAGCTTTGCTAGAGGACTTCAACTCCCTTTGCTCTGCTGACTGAGGAATTCTGGGAGTTGAAGTCCACAAGGCTTAAAGTTGCCAAGGTTAGAGATCCCTGGCTTAGGGAATAGTAGGGAGAAACAGAAAAGTTGGGTGAAGTGGCCTTGTTCCTCAGCTCCTTCTTGAGAGATAAACAAGGTAAGGAAAATTAAAACAATGATAAAACAATTAAAAAGAAAAGATTGGTCATTTTTATCTACAGCCCAGTGGTGAGCCAACCTTTCTTCCAATCAATATTTACACTATCCTAGTTACTCTCACCCATTTCACTACAAAGAACATGGACTTTCAATACAAACTTCCACTTTGGACAGTGGGTGTCTAATGTCCATCAAGAGGGACTTATGGGGGCCAAAAGAGGAAGGTCTTTTATCAGATCTACCAAATCTTTTGCTCTCCCAAATCCCTGCTATTTTCAGCCACCAATCCTGGTCATGCCATTTGGGTAGGACACAATATTTTCTATTTCTTGTCTAGAGGCACCGGAGGTCCCAGCTAAGGTCATCTCTTGGCTCCACCCCACCCACCCTGCTTAGAAAATTACGGCACACAACCCTGGTTTTCACAGGCACAAGAACACACATGGAACCCCCCTGCCTACAAAACCTGAAGTTGCAATGGAGGAAGCAGATCCACACTCCGATTTCGTGGCCCAGGCAGATCTTCCTCCTTCACTGAAATGAAACAGGTAGGTCTTGGCAAGCCGGGGAATTCCATGCATGCATTGAAAGACATAGGAGAGACTCTGCACCAGAACGACCAATTGGCATCTCGAGGAAGGGAAGCAAATAGGAAAATTCCAAAATGGGAAGAAAAGCTTGGGGAACAAGGAAAACAGGACCATTTCCCACTTTTTTTGAGCAAAACTTAACCGAATATTTAGTCAGTTTCTCAGCAAAATCATATGTGATTTATCAAGCACTACGTTACATATAACCAGAACGATAGTAACAATCGCAGCCAAGGCAACTCAGATTCTGCTCCATGAATAGAATTCTTCAATTTGCATAAATGGGTGCTTGGATTAATTCATTTACATTTCATTCCAGTTTCACCTATACATGAGAGAAGTAAAGATTATCCGTTCTATCTTCATACATACTATACTATATATAAACTTCCAAGCATACTCACAATAGCAGTAAATCTGGACACTTTTACAGGGGTTAGGGGATTGGACTAGGGAAAATTCTTGGCAAGTTCATTCCTACTGCTGGTTGCGTATTCTGCATTTCTCCTGTAGCTTCACTGAACACAGTCCTTAGAATTTAGGTTGCTTAAATATATCTATTTTCTCTCTCAACACAACCATCTTCTAAAAGAGGCAGAGAATTTACATGCCTAAAGCCAATTCCCCATTTCCAAGTTTTCCTCCATTGAAGCATTGGAAGATATTGGAAATGAACAAACGTAATCTGGACATGTTCAGAGAGGGCAGAGCAGGGCAGGAAGCAGAGGGATATTCTGTACGCAAAAAGTAAATGTTGGCACGAGGCAACAGATTACTACAGAAAATGATAACTTGTCTATTTTTAGATAGTCTTGCCTATCTTCACCAAGGGCCCAGGTACCCAGTAGGCCACCTGAAAGTAACTTTCTTAAACTCCACGCTCTACTTGATTTTATTTTATCGAGATAGATATTTTCCCAGGAAGGTAGCTTGGAGCAAAGGCTGTGCATTGCTTTTAGGAAATAGCCTCAGGCTGTAGCCTCAGGTTCTATTTAAGACCACATCCAGAGGAGAAGAAGAAAGATAGAGAACAATAAATGAAGGCCAGAAAGAATATTCTAGGAAATGGCAGGATGCAGTGAAAAACAACCTCCCCGCCCCCCAGGCAAGTATCTTGTAACAGCAGCGATGAGATGCTCCTAAAATTCCAAATTACTCACCAACTCCCAAGACTGGAGATTCCTGACACAGAGCTTATGGCTTATAAAACGGTTCCATGTGTGCAGGTATATCTGGATGAGAGAAAGTGAGGGTGTTCCCTGAATGTGTGAATGCACATGAGAAACATCCATGCATTTTCCGTGACCCATTTGACACACAGCACCACTGGCCTGCTCCCGTTGTATCCAACTGTTCAGCAATACCTCAAGGGCAAGGAAGTCAGTCCATAAAGCCATCTCGTGTCAATAAATAGCATGGGCTTCCCATAAACCCACTGAGCTACTTCTAAGAAGAGCCAGGGAGGGCAGTGTAGCCAATCCAGTAGACAAGAAGCTACACTATGATAACTTCAGCTCTCCTTAAAGTGAAGACAAACACCAGCTCTACCAAGGTATTTGACGGACTCTCCCCAAAACTTAAACCCATTGATCAACGAAGACCTCAACTGTGTCTTTTTCCAACGTTTCTGCTTCAAGATATTAAGCAAGTAACGTCACACTTCTCTGTAGCAGCTTTGGATTCTACAATTCCCTCCCCAAACAACCCTGCCCAACATCAACTAAATATGTCTATGGAGATTCCCAGTCATCCAGATCGTGATTGTCCCAAAGGTGCTTTTTTTCCAAGATGAAGCTGGACTTTCTGGTTTTTCTTTGAAGACATTTCGCTTCTCATCCAAAAACCTTCTTCAGCTCTGAAAAGAAAAACCAGAGTCCGGCTGCCTCTTGAAAAAGCACCTTTGAGACAACCATGACCTGGATGACTGAGAATCTCCATAGACATCAGAACTGAAGAAGCTTCTTGGATGAGAAGTGAAACGTCTTCAAAGAAAAACCAGAAAGTCCAGTTGCCTCTTGAAAAAGCACAATCAACTATAATAGTTTCCTCCCAACTAACTAAATTGTTCCTGTTCAGTCAAACTTAATTAAGTTAATTTACTGACTGGCCCTGTTTTTATTAAGTGGCTGGGGTCAGACATCATTGCCAACAAAGTGATAGGTTAGGATGATGTGTAAATCCTGATTTGCTCAGTAGTCTTTCCCCAACTAGTCAATCCATTTTTAATGGTTTTTACTGCAACAGACAGAGGACACTGTTATACACCAGGTTCTTCCAGGCTGGGTTGAGGGAGTTCCTGCTATCTGCTTCTCTAAAAGAAAGGGAGATGACAACAACCTTCTGCAGCAAAGCTTTGCTAATGAAGTTATGTCCTTTCTTTTGAAACTCTAGAAAGCTGCTGTGCTGTAGAAAGATGATGACATTCGAGCTCCATCATTTTAAGGTTGCATTCACACAACATACTATTAAGCCAGTCAACACTTATCAAATATGGTCTGACAACAAGGAAGGTTCTTTCTTTTTTTTTCCGGCTTAGTGTTTTCTACTAACTCAAATCAATTTTGGGGGGGCTATGATTCAGCACAAAAAGGGTTCATTCAATAATCAGATTAAACGGGTCATGTGAATTCAACAGAGCAGTGGTGTGATGGCCTAGAAGTGGAGCTCTCGCCTCACAATCAGGAGTCTGTGAGTTCCATCCTAGGTAGAGGCAGAATATATCTGCTGGAAAAAACTCTGCATTGGTGACAGGAAGAGCATCCGGCCAGTAAACAATCAGCTCCATTCAGTTGGCCAGACTCCACCCTGCAAGGGATTATGGGGTCATTAAAAGATGATGTGAATTCAACCTAATATTTCTATATAAGTAGGAAAGAGTATCTCCAATCCTGAACTGCATTTAATTTTCACCTGAACCAAGTCCAACAAG